TCCTGTCACTTGTTAGTGCATCACTTGTGATGCAGCGTGTCACTTACATCTCCAGCAGTCTTTTACGCTGTATGTTACTTTGATAATCACAGATAGAAATAACCTGCTTGCCTTCACCCATATATGCTGCTGCTTAACTAATACAGCACCTTTGTGCCTCCACTGATCCAAGTCAGAGAAACGAGACAGAAATTGTTAGTGACATACTGCAGGTTACACTAAAGAGTATTCCTTATTCAGTGGGTGCCCCTAGCCTGCACCTAAAAGTCAAACACATCCTTTCCACCCAGTCATCTGGGACTCGCAGGCAAAGCAGTACAAAGATTTGGCAAAAGGGGGTAGGACTGACCTCAATCTGAATACACCACAGTTTTCATAAGGTGTCTGAAGGCAGGCGGGGGCAGGCACCACTGTGGCCATTTTATGGCAAAAGAGAAAGGTTACATGGGGTAATGGTTTTAAACTAAAAGAGGGGAGATTCAGACTAGATAAGGAAGAAGAGTTTTCACAATGAGAGTGCTGAGGCGCTGGCACAGGGTGCCCAGAGAAGCTGTGGCTGCCCCATCCCTGGCAGTGCTCAAGGCCAGGTTGGACACAGGGGCTCGGAGCAAGCTGCTCTAGTGCGAGGTGTCCCTGCTCATGGCAGGGCTTTGAACTAGAGGAGCTTTTACAGGTCACTTTAAACCCAAACCATTCTCCCATTGTTGCGTGTGCAGTAAGGATGACTGGTGACCAGGACACTGAGTGAACCAGAAAGACAAACTTCTTGACAGAGCAGAGAAGGAAGGATGCATCCCTGTGAGACTTCACACCCAGTGATCTCTAAGGCAAAAGTGATTATCCACATACTTCTATCAACCCTGTTCCAAGAAAAGTGGGATCTCTAACACTGTGCTCTCTAGCCCAACTCCAGTATATTACAACATGAAGAGTATTTTATGGGCAGCCACATTCAACACAGCAGCAGAGAGACCGTATAGGATTAGCACTGGTATTTGGCCCCCAAGAGAGGGCAATGCTCTATGCTACATCCCGTTTGGCACCCCAGCAGGGAATCTGTGTCTAACTGCTGGAGCCCAGCATTACCTCTGGTGATTACACCTAGCAGTGGAGTGGAGGAGGGATGAAACAGAGAGCGAAAGGCACTGCTACATCAGGTATTGATTTTCAAAGACCTGGGTGCACTACAGAGAATGTGCAATCTCAGAACTGAGTTTCAGGGGGGCTTTTCTGGTTGCTTGGTTTGGGGGTTTTTCTTCTTCTTGTGAGGTTTTGGGGGACTGAGTGGCTTTGCTTTTAGAAACAAAACTGTGATAACTGCTTGGGGTTTTAAGCAGGGGCACAGATGTCTTCAGCTTGGGGTGGCTTAAATACTGTTGAGCTTTTCAGTGAGTCCACATTTCTCATAGGGGTTACACTTATATTGCCACTCCTCACCATCTCAGTAACAAGTTGCGATGCCTTTTGGGAGCAAATCTCTGCTCTTTTAGAAAAGGTCTGACCTCACAGCAACTGATCATCTCAGCTCCCTTCTGAACAGGGGAGAATAACAAGGGAAAAAACCTGCCTTTAAAAACCCCAGCTATCAGTTCATTAACATTATTCTGGCGTTCCTTTGGGTACCACGGAATTGTGAGGGGCTCCACAGAGAATGAAAACAGCCAGCTGATGAACAGAATTTTCCTTACTTTCTTCCATGGGTGTACCTTATTTAGAACAATAACCCCTCTTATGCCATGGGACCGTACTGCCCTTACCCGGGGGTGTTTCTAGGTAAACACAACTAGAGGTGGCCACATACCCTCAGTGTGGATCCCAGAGCTCAATTGTGCCTTGCTTCACCTGAAAAAGCTGGAGAAGGGGATGATTTTCCAGTTTTGTATTCGGAGAACCCTTGCACCAGGTAATAAGCTCAACTCAAATAACCTGCAGCTCTAAACAAGCCAAAGCAATTGCAAAGCATGTGGTGAGCTGCGAGCACTGTTAGCAGATGGATGCTTCTGGGAGACTCTGGGGGTGCATGGTCCTGCAGCTCTTTTCAAAGCCAGATCTGTACTGAGAGGAGCACAATTCACTGCCCTTCAAAGGCACAGCAGTGCTGACAGCGTGGAGAGTTTTCAAAGGATCATGCCTCCAGGAACTGTCACTCTTCTCCACTGCCCTCATCAGCATTGCCCTAAAGGAAGCAGTCTTTGCCATTAGGACAGTAAATACCCTCACATGCCTGCAATTTCGTTCTGAGCACTGGATGAAATGCCTGGGTGAAATAGCTCCAGCGAGCAAACAGCACCAGGCAGTCTCTCTCTTGCTCTTTCCCCTTTAAGAGCACTACCCCAAAGGCTATTTTCATGCATTTTGAAATGTGAAAATTCACCCACTGCTCCACTCTGAGACCACTCAGATTTAGGAGAAACGGCTGTTCTTCCTGTGGTCACAATGAGGAAGAAAATATCACTGCTTGTACAGTACACGTGTGATTTAAATAACACTGATTAATACATTTGCTGATCCTAAAAGTAGCACAAAGTACTTTCTTTTCTATCATTGTGTGAAAACAATGGGCAAATGACCTTCCGAGTATGGCAGCACCTTTTTAATGGGTAATATCAAACTCCAGTCTTCACCACAAAATTACTGATCTTTCTTTCCCCCATGGATTTCCAGACTCGCTGCTCCAAACAGTACGGTGCAGCTAACAAAGGCCCAGACCCTGCCATACTCTCCTGCACTTTAATTTCACAAACGGTAGTTCCATGACGCCAGCACGATTTCAGCATGCAAGCAAAGTGATTAGGAGTCTAGCCCCACAGCCCAGTTCAGCCCAAGCCAGTAACCACCACTTCGGTGTATCTACAGCTTCCAAGAATACATTTAAAAAGAGGGGATTTTCATACCTGAGCCATCTTAAAAACCGTATCAGCAGCACAGTTCAAGCCACAGCCGGATGGATAGACAGGAATGATTTCATATTTGGTTTTTGCTAAGAACACAGAAGCCGTGGAGCTGTCATTCCCTGTCGTATTTATGTTACGCTTCACTTGGGCAAGCCATTGACTGTGTGCGCCAGGCTACGTACAGCCCTAGGCCCTTCCAGCAGCACTTCCGTAAGTAATTAGGCACAGACTGTCCTTTTAGCAGACTTCTAACTATGCTTTCAGTTTCATTGGCCCCACACTGTGTATCTGAAAGCAGCAGACCGGGCTCCCCTTCCACTGCAGGGTGCTCTCCGTGTATTTAAAACAATATAGGATCTCTCCAACAGTTCAGACCTCAATTTGTAGATTTTTCAACACTTCCTGCAACTCTGCTTTGTTAGGGTTTGGGGTTTTCTTACCCCCACACACACTGTTTGCATTTCACACATAGAAAACCAAGCTGTAAAGAAGTCAATTTATGACAGACACCATACGAACACAGAAGATCTGCAGGTTCTCAGGAGCAGAGATTGCCTCAACTGGCAAAACCAAAGGCAGTAACTTTTGAAGGGTCACACGGCAGACCAACAGCAGAGATACCACCAACTCCCCTGTTTCCTAGTCCAAAAGTCATCCACTAAACGAGGAAAACAATGCTTTTTTTAGCTAAGGAAACCCAAGCAAAACTCATACTGCTCTAACAGAAGGGAACAGTATTTCCTCCTTCGCAGCACACTTACACAGAAGGTATCTGTTGGCTCCCCAAGTTGCTAACAGGGGTGACAGACTGAGAATGAAGTATTTAAAGCTAGGGCTAGAACACCACACCGCAGAGAACCCACAGCTGGCTTGTCAAGAATCAACTCGTGCGGACTCAGTGGCTGTCTGTGGTCCAAGGACTGCATGAGCATACAACTCCACTACCGCATCTCCACAGAATGAAAAACAATGCAGCAACAAAGAACAGTATCTTATTCCATTCTTTGTATGAAGCAAGTGAAAGCATGTTTTCTGGCAGAAGGGCTCTGAAACATTAGAAAATGCTTCAGAGGAGCGACCAACCTGTTAGATCTCTGGAGTCTGTGAATCAGTACCAAACCTTCTGCATTGCGGCCACAAGGACTCAATGAGGGTGAAGGCTTACAGAGTCTTTGTAAGTAGCCTGAAATAATGAGTTCAGTAGCAAGGGCAAATTAAGGAAAACCTACCATCACCTGATGCTTACAGCGGGCCCCAAACAGCATGCTCTGGCTCACACACTCAGTTCATTCTTCCAAGGCAAAGAAAGCTCTTCACAGATGGATATTGCAACATTTTCGTGGGATGAAACAACGGATAGAGTGGATTCTCTAAGGGCCTGAAGACAAACTTCACCTTTCACACTTCTTTGTAAAGATCAGTAGACAGCGATAGACATGTTATTAAAAACGAACGCAAACCCATTCTTAGTGAACAGCCATGGCTTTGCTCACACAAAAGAACTCCAAAGAGCAAACCCAGTTCCTCGGTGTAGCATTCAAATGCATTAACCTCCCTCTTCTTGTTGAAGTGTCCTGCTTTAATCACCGCATTCCGCTAAATGTCAGCAAACAAAGCATGCAACAATTATTCCACCTTCCTTATTCATTTTCAGAACACAGTGTATCCAATCAATTAGGTTTTCTATGGAGGAAAATGCTACGCTCCGTAGTGACATTCTTCTATACAATTCAAGTCCTGGTTAGAAAGTAAGAAGGTGCTCGAGTTAGCAGTGGAAAACACTTGAATGGTTTTCTTCAGGACAAGAAAATAACAGATTTCCTCAGGAGCGAGTAGGACACTGGCACTGAAAATTCCTAAGTCAAGGTTCTCCTGGAGGACGCCTGAAGACGTTCCTTAGTGACTTCCGATAGACAGCCAAGCCAAAGAGTTACAGTTTCTCAAACTAATACGTAAATGGAAGAAACTAATACGTAAATGGAAGACAAAAGAGGATCTTGCTCTAGAAAACACCAAGCAGCATCAGGTTCACATGGCCACCTGTACTCCCAACAACAGAAATGCTTCTTGACATGGAATTCCAAATCCAAAAAAGTATTGGCTTACCTGACCAGAAAGCGATGGAGCCCAACGTCAAAGCTTCTGTAAGAAAAGAGTCACCATATTTTAATTACTAAAAATTATTACTACTGTACATACAGAGCATTTCAAACCAATCAACAATGCTAAAGATAACTATAAAATTACTAGCATTGATAAAACAGAAGCAGAAGTGAAATATACTATTTCCTTTCTGTAATGGCAAGGATGTTGGACTCTTCATCAGGGACTGCAGCCATAGGACAAGGGGTGATGGGTTCAAACTGGGTGCCCAGAGGAGCCGTGGCTGCCCCATCCCTGGCAGTGTTCAAGGCCAGGCTGGACACAGGGGCTTGGAGCAAGCTGCTCTAGGGGAAGGTGTCCCTGCCCGTGGCAGGGGTTGGAACTGGAGGACCTTTAAGGTCCTTTCCAAACACTCTATGATTTCTGCCACATGCAGGTAGATCCTCTCTGCAAAATTACTGTGGAATCCTTTCTTTGCCCATTTCTGCACTGAACTGCACTAAGATGGAAGGGATTGCTGTGAGTTCTCTCCATGATACAGAATAATCAAGGAGCCCCGTTACTTCTCTTTCAGATACACAGAATATAGCTGGGCCTTGCAAATGTGTTCCGCTCAGATCTGGTGAGGAAAATCACTTTGGGACTTTTTGACAGCACGGGCAACGTAGATCACACTAAATTACAAGCAGCATGCCTGAAAACCTCAGCACTAACAACGTACGTGGGCAGATAGCATCACTGTTTCTTTCCCTTTCCTACTGCCTCCATCGCTCAGACAGCTCAGGAGAATCAAGGTCATGAACAAAGGACCAGCAAATCCATGACACCAGAGGAAGGTAGGTGCTGATTTGAGACATTTACCTACGAGCTGAAGTACGTGCTAGTTTTATGGCACTATCAATATCATCCCAGATTAACTGTGCGCATAATGGCATAGCCGGTGAATGCAAATGGCTCATTCCCAGTGCTGGACCTGCTCTGAAATGGCCTTACATTCTGCACACAGAAAACATTCTGGCATATACTAAGCTCTTGAGTATCCTGATGCAAAAAAAAAAAAAAAGAGCCTAACTGGTCATTTGAGTACAACGAGGTTTTATTTTAACAGTATTGCTTCCAGTGTGATGCCTTCTACCTGAAGCAGCGAGAGAAGTCAGCAGACAGTTAATGGCATCCTGGTAATGGCCGATAGGCAATGAACTATAGAAATAGTAGGAGTTAACAGGGAGGGAAAGTCATCTGGTTCACCAGGGTGGAGAGGAGAGGAGCAACCGGCTTGCTTAAAAGCTGCCTTGCAACAGCAAAAAATATTAATTAAACCTGTATATTCATATTCCTTTCCTAAAATCATTTCCCATTTTACATCATTGCTATATTACTGTGCAATTACAGTGCATGAAGTGCATTCACTTATCTTTCTACATTTCCCCCTGCCTGGGGACACACCTTAATTTGCTCCCCCCTCTTCACTAAAATATTCAAACTGAAACAGGGCAAGTTCAGGTTAGATCTAAGGCAGAAGCTCTTCCCTGTGAGGGTGCCCAGAGAAGCTGTGGCTGCCCCATCCCTGGCAGTGTTCAAGGCCAGGTTGGCCACAGAGGCTTGGAGCAACCTGCTCCAGTGTGAGCTGTCCCTGCCCATGGCAGGAGGTTGGACCTGGATGAGCTTTAAGGTCCCTTCCAACCCAAACCAGTCTGGGATTCCATGATTCTGTGTTGTACATACACTCTTCTGTAGCAGAGCTGCCCACAGTCTGCGCTTACAGCTCTGAACATCTTTGCTCCCTAGGATCAGGCACTTCAGGATGTTTGTTCTAGGATGGGGGAGAAGAAGAAACTTCAGTTTCAGGGAACAGCTGCACGCTGAACAGACACCTTACACATCTTCAGCCAAGCTCACCTTTCCAAGTTATCCCATCTATCCTTTATAGCAATGACCCCATCTGCTATTGTCTCTGAGGGGACACAACAGCTGAACTTCTTGCGGACAAGGATGCAGAGTATTAATATATCATCACTTTTGACACTGAACCAAAAGCCAAAGGCCTTGGCTTACATCAAGCACGGAAACTGGTCCTGCTAACTTGAGGTGATCAGAGATGAAGGAGGTTGGGGCAGACAAAGCTGAGCCAGAGTGGGTTCAGACAGGGAGGGAAAATGAGACAGTTTGCTGTGGATAGAGATGCCATCTCTCATTTTTCACTCTTTCCAAAACATAATGTATTTTCTATTAAAGACAGATTTACAAGTCTATTGCATATAGGCTTTAGGTATTAAAATATTTCCATAAATATTCTATCAGTATTAAAAATGATCACACACAGAACCAACTTAGTAGAATAAATACACAGGAGGAAAAAAATCAGAGCCTCCCTAGGTATAACTTAGCATAGACAGATAGGCTCCATCATTCCCCAGTTTGCATTGATACATTTCAACTGATTCTAAATTCCCCACAGTGTAAGCTGTCAGTTAAAGATGTAACTTCACTGTGACCCACAAAATTAGGAGAACATAGAGCAGCATCAGCGTGCACTTGGATCTTGAAGACACCTCAGGACAGTATCGTTGATCAGGTCCAAAAGCAAGAACAATTTCAAACTGTAAATAGGAGACACAGCTGCACTACTTAAGGCTACTGATACTGGGTACGTACACTCCTAAGCACATAGGATAATGAACAGAGACACTGCACAAGGCAACAAACAGTGAAAAGCCAGGATTATGGGAGGCTGGTATTGACAAAAAGCCACCACTGCCACTTGCAACCATTCTGCTTACTCATGTTTAAATACAGGCGGCATGTAAGGCTGCAAGGGAAGTGAAAATACAGGGAAGCAGCAATGGAAACAGATGTGCTAGATGTAACCAGTCCCTCCGTTCTCAGACGGAAAAGTTAACACGGGGTAAAGAGGGTCTGCGGAGCACTGTTCATACTGCAGCTTGGGGGTAGAAGAAGCAACCCTAACTATTCTATTATTCTACAGTTCTATATTAAAAACTTCAGTGAACCCTTCAACATCACAGGCAATGACAAGACCCTGCCACAATCACTCAGAATTAGACCTGCTAAATGCACCTGATTATCTACTGCTATAAAGTACACCCACATTTACTTGCTATTTGGTATGAACTTCACACCGCTTGGTCAACCCCGAGCCCCTCTGCAAAATCCAGGAGCCAGCTGATAGCCCTTGCAGTTCAGGGTTCCTCGCCTAAGGCATCCTAAAGCGCCTTGAAGTTCTACAAATGCTTTTTGAAATCCTATAATGAGCACAATTTTCTGATATCAAGGTTTTAATTCCAATCTAAAATAACACGGGAAAGGAGATCCGGTTTATCAAAGTAGTAATGGTAGTCTTTAAACAGGGCGTAATCTTGACTAGTCAGTGGAACAATCAAGGGGAGATATACTTAACCTCCAGTTCATAATCATGTTACTCATTGCAGGCAATTTGGTCGCTATTTTACCCAAAAGTCTTTAATTCTGTTCCTCTGAAGGGCAGTTCTGACCCACAGTTCTGCACGCAGCTTTAACGCCTTTGGTAAGCATGGAGGTTTCAGTTTGACACATTTCAGCAAAAGATTACACATGTAATCCTTCCTAATCAAATTTATCTTTTCCCAGTACATCAACTAGGAACTGCTGTCCAAAAATACACACAGACTAAACCAACAAGGACCTTCTCCAAAACACAACCTTTGAAATCCTCTCCTCAAGGTACATATTCAAAATTACTTCAGACACGCAGTTTCTGCTTTGAAAGCTAAATGCATAATGCAACAACCTGCCTCCAAGTCTGCATTCAGCCCAAAGCTGGGAGGTGTGTGTGTGGGGGGGAAGTCCTCTTTTATAGAAGAGATATGAAAGGGCTGAAACACGCTGCTATGAACCACAGTCAGCAGCAATTGCGCATGCACTGAAAGTGTAATCCTGATGATTCCCAGGAAAAACAGAGTACAAAGCCCCTCCTTTTGTCCCCAGGATGCAAAAAGGCATTTATATACATCTGAAAGCCCAATGAGCAAGACTGGTGCAAGCTCCTGTTCATGCAATCGGGGTATCAGAGTAGCCAGTCACCCGTTTCCCCCTTGTGTAATGCATACTTTGGACTTGCTCTGAGATTTCCATCTATCCCATTTCCTTACAGTTGGACCTTACTGTGAAATCCTGTGCCCCACCACATGCTAGCTAAAGAGTGCTGTAGCACATGGCTCTCCAACTGCAGCTGCCTAGCGCAGGCTGGCAAATAAACACATAAATCAGGACCAAAAACCAGTCAGGACCTTCTCCTAGGAGCTGCGTCACGCTTTCCTGGCCACATGCCCTGAGCTCAGCAGACACGGTGCCTCCCACTGGAGCTACACGCTTACACGCAGCGACAGACTCTTGTTTCCCGAGCGTTACCAACCAAATGCCCACGCTGGTCCACACTCCTCATAAGCATGCATGACCCGATGGATTGCTTTCCACAAAGCTGTGCTTCCCCTAAAAGAGCACTGTGTACAGTTCTGGTGTCCTTGGCATAAGGAGGACACAGAGGTGTTGGAGCCGTGGTCCAGAGGAAGCCATGAGGATGATCAGGGACTGCAGCACCTCCTGTATGAAGACAGGCTGAGAACACTGGGGCTGCTCATGACCATTCTGAAAAGCGGATCACGGCATGGTTCTAACTTTGGGCACTACCTTCAGGGGCACAGATCTAGGCAGATAGATTGCCATTTGTAAAGAGCTCAAAATCAGTAACCTGGATGGAGACATGCGGATGTGATATTGCATGCCCAGAGAACACACTGCAGTGTAGACAGACATATTCCAGCCACCTTCAGAACAGTCATGTTGCTGCTAGAACATAACCACTTCTGAATGCAGAGAGGAACGGTGTAATTTACACATTACAGGAAAACCAGTTCAAGCAACAGCACTACCTCACACTTCGCTGGAGCGAACAATATACTAATAGCGCTTAAATCTCTTCAAATCACTTAGACTACCTGCCATTTATTGCGGTGATGGAATCCAACTAGTGGGTTGTTTAT